ATATGTATACATATACATATATATACATATACATATATGTATATGTATATGTATATGTATATGTATATGTATATATATGTATATATATATACATATATATACATATACATATATATACATATACATATATGTATATGTATATGTATATGTATATATATATATGTATATGTATATAGTCATGATTATGGTGGCAGGGAGCATGAATACATAGATGTATTTTTCTTACAAAATGCTGTCTTTCTAGTAATGTTATATCAAATTTAAGTAGATCATATTTGGGGTTTTGTTTATTCGGGAGTTTCTTCCACTTGGTTTGCACAAATAGTGAATCTCCTTTGTTGATGATGATACCAATTAGATTGAGGAGGTTATCATATCATTGTTTCTATATCACTCTACTTTTCCAAGTCTCTGAATGTTATGTGCTTCACATTGTTGCTCATTTCTCATACTTTCTTATTTGGTTATTGCAGTAGCAAGAAGTCTCTAGGGAGGCATCTTGGTAGTTAGCACGTTGTTGTGCAATTGATAGGTTTCAGTTTCTGGTCCATATAAGAGTGTCTTAGACACAAATTATTGTAATGGAAAGGAAAATAATATAGAAAAAGAAGTCTGTCTGATATACTAATGGTTTTGTTTGTTAGTATTTGCAAACTATCATTTGAGAATTTACTTTCATCATGCAGAATGAGATGGGCTACGGAGGAGATGATTCGTCAACATCACCAGTGTTGGAATTCCAACAACAAACCCAATCTGCAAGTCATTTTACAAACTCAAGCATCCAACCATTTCCTGGTTTATCTGGCCAGGTCTCAACTGGTATCGCCCCTCGCAGCGGTGACTCCGATCATGCAAAAAGCTCTGCTTTCTCAAATGCACTTTCAAGCTCTGCTTGTGGGAGCCTTCCGCACTATCGCCTTGCTCAGGGAGGTGGATATTATACAAATGGTCCATCCACTGGAGATGCTGGTGCTAGAAGCCATGATCCTAACCAAAACCAGGAGCTTCATTCTCTCAGCTTCAATGATTCTTCTATGGATATGAACCCAGATAGTCCAAAACATGAATCTTATCTATGAAATTCTCTACCTAAGCTCTCAGTAATTTATTTTCATTCATCAATGTATATAGTTATATAGCCTTGGTTAGTACTGGTTTAGATCTCCATACGCCACCCTCAAGTCAGGATGACAAGAACAAGAAAAAGGTCAAGATGTCTGCATGTACATAACTTTCATGGTGGGCTATTTTAGGAACCGATTTGAATGTTTGATAAGAGCTACTGCTGTGTTGGCTCTTTCGTTTGGAACCGCTTGCAGTTTCTTGTTTCGAGTTGTCTTCTGCTGTTGGACCTAAAGATGTCTTCCATAATGTTCGTTTGAGATCTGAGAGTCGCTTTATGTAAATAGCTATTGATGCTGCTATTTTGCCATTTATTCATAAGACTTATTCTCTTGTTTGCTAGCAATTAGATTTGAAATTTTACATCTCTTGACAGAGCCTGATACCATTTCCATGAACAGAGAAACAGATCCGATCGAGTTAAGTATTTATTTTCCCTTCTTTTTGATCCAATTTCCATCCATCTTGCAGTTAATTCTGTCACTCTTCTTTTACAGGGCAATTGGGTTGGTCGATGGTTGATCCTTCTCCCTCCCGCAGCTTCATGCAGAAGATAAGCTTCAGAACCTGCACGATACAACTTGAAGATCAGCAGAACCTGATGCTGATGAGATATAGACTGCATTATTATTGCCAGGCATGGGAGGGATTCAACAGGACCATACTACTCGGATAGACTCATCTGTGTCAGGACAGGGTCTGACGACCACACAATCTCCGGTTTCTCCACGCTCATCATTCAAACAGCACATTGAGAGGCCACAGTGAACTCCAAGCCTTCCACCGATATCATAGAATTAGTCTTGTAAACCGTTACAATTGTATGTAGCGGTTGTAAGATGATATCTATCACTCGGTAGCCTTCTTTCGTAGCCGTTCAAAAATGATGATGGCTATGGGAAGGCCCCACGAATGCCCTCCAGCTGGCATCTGCACACATGTTGGTTTCTTGTGTCATATGACTTGCACGGAGGTGTCGGCTTGTCAGAGTATGATGGAGTATATTTGAAGCGATATTTCAGAATAGTGATTTATATCACTGTCACAGGTCAGAAAACCGTCACATTCTCCTAATTCACATGACGTATATAACGGATAGAAAAAAAACACACGATATGTATAACGATAGATGCAAAGCATACGCCAATATTGTTATTTTTCTGCAAGGACGGAAATACTGACGTGGCAAATGAGGACGGGGAGCTTCTCGGTGAGCGATACCGATGTGTTGTCACCTAAGTCGTAACGTTGTCGCATCCCAAGTCGGGCAGCATCGGTACAAACACCTCGTCCCCTTCCTCCCTCCCAAACTTCCTCTCTCTCTCTCTCTCTCTGTGCCGCTGCGCGAGTCCAACACCCTCTCCAATGACTCAAGTCCAACATTGAGGAGAACCCAGTCGACGCCATGAGGGGTGTTGAGCTCCGCCGCCGCTCCTTCCTCCGCCTCGCTTGCTTCCTCAGCCTCCTCGTCGCTATCAGATCGAGCGACGCCGGAGACTTGGACCTCCTGATGTCGTTCAAGACTGCAGTAGCAAACCCCCAGCTGCTCCCGAGCTGGGACGCACTGCGCGGTCCCTGCTCCTTCTCCGGCGTTACGTGCGGCGCGGGAGGCCGCGTCGTTGCCATTGCGCTGCAGTCCGTTCCTCTCGGCGCAGAGTTCCGCGCGGTGTCGTCCTCCATCCTGGCCCTGGGAGGCCTCGTGAGCCTCTCCCTCCGCGCCGTCAACCTCACAGGGGACGTCGCTGGGGTCCGCTGTGGCGGCCGGCTCGCCGAGCTAGATCTTTCCGGCAATAGCCTCCAGGGCTCCATCGCCGACGTGGCCTCTCTCGCCGCGGCTTGCTCCGGGTTGAAGTCTCTCAACCTCTCCGGAAACTCGGTTGGTGTTCCACCTATGGCCGCGGGAGATGGTCCCGCGGCCGTCGGGTTCCAGCTCGAGACGCTTGACCTTTCCTTCAACAAGATCTCCGGCGAGTTCGACCTCCGGTGGCTCCTCTCCAACCTCGGTTCCCTCCGCCGCCTCGACCTGGTCGGAAGCCGCCTCTCCGGCGGGATACTGGCCATCACCAACTGCTCCTACCTTCAGCACCTGGACCTCTCGTACAGCGGCCTCTCCGGCGTGATCGGCGACGGGGTCTTCGGCCACTGCCGAAGCTTGGCCTACCTGAATCTCTCTTCCAACCACTTTACCGGTACTCTCCCCTCCGACCTCTCCTCTTGCACTTCCTTGAGAACCCTCAGCCTCTCCAACAACAACTTCTCCGGCGAGTTACCCGTCGAAACTCTGACCTCGATGCCGTACCTCGCGATCCTCGAGTTCGCCTTCAACGACGTCAATGGCAGCCTAGGGGACTCGATCACGAGGATGCCGATGCTCGAAGTGCTCGACCTGAGCTCGAACCGGTTGTCGGGATCGATCCCCTCGGAGCTTTGCCCGAACCCGGGCTTCGCCTTGAATACGCTCGACCTCCAGAACAACCAGCTCACTGGCGGCATCCCGGAGTCTCTGAGAAATTGCACCAAGCTCGTAACCCTCGATCTCAGCCTCAACTACCTCACCGGAGCCATTCCTTCCGGTCTGGGCTCGCTGCCTTCCCTCCGTGATCTGATCATGTGGCAGAACTTGCTCGAGGCAGAGATCCCGCCGGAGCTTGTCAACCTCCGATCCCTTGAGAACCTCATCCTCGACAACAATGGCCTTAACGGTTCGATCCCTGCTGGGCTCGTCAACTGCACCAATTTGAACTGGCTCTCTTTGTCGAGCAATCACTTGAGTGGAACGATCCCCCCGTGGATCGGGCAGCTTCATAACTTGGCCATTCTCAAGCTCGGTAACAACTCCTTCTCCGGCCCTATTCCGCCGGAGCTCGGAGACTGCAAGAGCTTGGTATGGCTGGACCTCAACAATAACCAGCTCAGTGGATCGATTCCGCCGACCCTGGCGAAACAGTCCGGCAAAATCGCGGTGGGCTTGGTCACCGGCGAGCCGTACGTGTACCTGAAGAACGATGGGACCAGTGGATGCCGTGGGACAGGTAATCTCCTTGAGTTTGCTGGCATCCGGCCGGAGGACCTTGACCGGTTGCCTAGCCGGCGGTTCTGTAACTTCACCAGGGTTTACAAGGGTCTCACACAGTACACCTTCAACAACAATGGCTCGATGCTGTTCCTCGACCTTTCTTTCAACCAGCTGACCGGCCAGATTCCCAAGGAGCTCGGCAATATGTACTATCTTCTGATCCTGAACCTTGGCCACAACTTCCTCTCAGGTTTGATACCTACGGACTTGGGGAGCCTGCGATATGTAGCCGTGTTGGATCTTTCTCATAATGCTCTTGAGGGACCAATCCCTTCGTCCTTCTCAGGCCTTGCTATGTTGGCTGAGATTGATCTCTCGAACAATGAGCTTAATGGATCGATTCCTGAGCTAGGTCAGTTGGCAACCTTTCCACGGTACCGATATGAGAACAATTCAGGCCTTTGCGGGTTTCCTCTCCCATCTTGCGAGGACATCGCTGGTGCAAATTCGAGCACCCAACATCAGAAGTCCAACCGGAGGCAAGCCTCTCTTGCCGGGAGTGTTGCTATGGGATTGCTCTTCTCTCTGTTCTGCATTTTTGGTTTGATCATAATCGCAGTGGAGAGTAAGAAACGACAGAAGAAGAAAGATAGCAGTAACTGCTCGCGGGACATCTACTTTGACAGCCGATCTCACTCTGGCACTGCCAATTCAAATTGGAAGCTTACAGCAACTAAGGATGCCTTGGTTATCAACCTTGCCACCTTCGAGATGCCTCTCAGAAAGCTCTGTTTCGCCGACCTGGTTGAGGCCACCAATGGCTTCCATAATGATAGCCTAATTGGTTCTGGTGGATTCGGTGATGTTTATAAAGCCCAGCTGAAGGATGGCAGTGTTGTTGCCATCAAGAAACTGATTCATGTTAGCGGGCAAGGTGACCGTGAGTTCACAGCTGAGATGGAGACCATTGGAAGGATCAAGCACCGCAACCTAGTTCCGCTGTTGGGCTACTGCAAAGTTGGAGAAGAACGACTTTTAGTGTACGAGTACATGAAATTTGGGAGTCTAGAAGATGTCTTGCATGATGGGAACAAGGTTGGAATCAAGCTGAACTGGGCAGCCAGGAGGAAGATAGCCGTGGGGGCAGCTAGAGGTTTAGCATTCCTACACCACAACTGCATTCCTCACATTATTCACAGAGATATGAAGTCCAGCAATGTTCTTCTTGATGAGAATTTAGAAGCTAGAGTCTCAGATTTTGGGATGGCAAGACTGATGAGTGCAGTGGACACGCATCTGAGCGTGTCTGCACTAGCAGGCACCCCTGGCTATGTTCCACCTGAGTATTACCAGAGCTTTCGTTGCACCACCAAGGGAGATGTTTACAGCTATGGTGTTGTCTTGCTCGAGCTGCTCACTGGGAGGCGGCCGACGGACTCGATGGACTTTGGTGACAACAACTTGGTGGGGTGGGTCAAGCAGCACTCCAAACTAAGAATAAGTGATGTCTTCGACCCAGAGTTATTGAAGGAGGATCCCTCTCTTGAACTTGAGCTCTTAGAGCATCTTAAGATCGCTTGTTCCTGCCTTGATGATCGGCCATTGCGTCGACCAACCATGCTAAGGGTGATGACAATGTTCAAGGAGATACAGGCAGGTTTGTCCATGAATGCCACATCTTCTGCCCCAGCAGCCTCAATGGATGGTGGCTTCTATGAGGGGGATATGAGCTTGAAGGAGAGCAAAGAAGAGAAGGATTAGAGCTGGAGATGAATTCAAGAAGGAAATATACTTCCCACATGAAGGAGCTGATTTCATTCAGTAAGGCTCCCCAAACACCATTTTGGCCTTTTCCTTGGCAGCAGTATGAGAAAAATTTTCCCTGTAGCTTCACTGTAGATCATATTATATATCTATAAAACAAGGTTGTTTTCTCCCTTTCCTTTTCGTTCATATATGTTGTTCTAGTCTTGTCACAAGTTCTGTACATAAAAAGTGAAATTTTTTTTTTGTCTAGAATTACTTTGTCCGAAATTTGATTACACAATAGTTCTGTTAGCTTCATCTGCATCACAGAATACTTCTAGTGAGAATACTCAAATCTGTGTATCTTCATTCCTTGCCAATTTTATTGGTTTGAGGAGCGAGAGACAAGTGACCGAGTACCACTACACCGTGACTGGACTGACTCACTTTTTCTAGTAAAATTAGCTGAAATTCTTATTAACACATCGTAGTGAATATAATTGTTAACATGGCTATTATGAGCTAGTTTGAGAAAAGTACTTTGGTTCTTTTTGGCACTTGATCTAAGTTGTTTAAAATTTCAAAATTGACTGTTGTCGTTAGCAGTCGCTTTGGATTCTTTTTTTTGTTAAATAGGTCATCTACCTACCACATATATTCACCATATTTTTCCATATGGTGTATGTTTTAAATGCTTCGACTGCTAGTCCACTAAGTCTAGCATGTGCACTTTTCCTTTAGAAAATTGGCTTCCAGCTTTTGCCTCAACACTTGTTCACTCCAGAAACCTAAGAACTAAGGAAATCAAAACTTACAAATGCCATGCGTCAAAGGATTGTTTAAAGATTTTGTCACTGTCCATTTATCTCTATCAAACCACTAGGGGATATGAAGATTTTGTCATTGTCCAAGTATCTTGTGACCATTAAACATTGCAAGCCATAGTGAGTTATAAAATAAAACACACCAAATTGTTGAATGATATGCTATTTAGTACTGCTGGCATCACAACTATGACAAATGTTTAATCAACAGATCCAAGCTGTAGTGATTCACTCTTGCTGTGATTTTACTTGCTCATCTATTGGAGCTTCATTGATCTGTTGATTGTTGATGATCGCTAGGGATGGTCTTGGCAGATGACTAAGCTAGAAAAAGCACAGCAGAGATTAAGCTATAAAGTGGAGATGCACTTTAGGTAGATCAAAAAGTGAGATTTGAGTACATAAAAGAGAATACTATTTAGGTCAGAAGCCTAAGTTTTCCTCTTTAGATATACAAGTTAGATTTCAGAGGTTTGATCTCAGAAACAGTGACATAAATATTGTGCTCTGATTGGGAATGACCAACTAGAATAATGAAAGTTAATATTTATTGAGAAAAGTTTCCATAAGATAGACAAGTGGAGAGAAGCTAATTGATATAAACATCCAAATGTTGTTGTAACCATGAACTCATGAGTGGAGGGCCCTCTGCAAAAGTAAGAAAGTTTTAATTGAGGTGGTTAAAGACGTTGCAGGAACAAGGACCACTAAAGCAATCTTTACATCAATCATTGCCAAACATGGCTCCATCCATTTACCAAATGGAGTGTAATGAGTTCCATTAGTTGTTCAATAGAGATCATAGATGATGCAAACACAGTCTCTCTGAAAAGAATTCTGAAATGTGGGACATGCTAATAATTTACGATGAGAAGCAGCAACCCTTTTTTCTGAATGAGGATGCCCATCTGGGACTAGACTTTGCATCATCATGGGTGTTGTGGTGTAAGGGTGAATCTTTGCAATCTATAAAGTTCCACCCTGTAGTTAGCAAACAAGGAGTGTCATGATGTGTTGGGCCCTAGGAAGCATTGTGTTGTTCTAAGACCACCATTGCCCCTTCAGGTAAAAGGATATGAAAGACATAGGACATTTCAATCATAATGCACTTGATGGTCTACTGTGCAGCACTGGAAGGCCATGAGATTAATCTTCTAAGGATGAATCATGAATGAACAAAAAGCATCTACTTATATTCAAAAATGTCCTTTTATGACACTATGATTGATGAGTTTCTAATATAATGGCTGTCCTCAGTACTTGACGCTGATATCATTGCCTTCTACAGGAATAAAAAGACATAACACATGGGAACCAAGGATTTTTGAACCTTGTCTTGTAGATAAATGATGATGCATGCATTGTGACAGTTATTTTGAGCTTATTCATGGAGTCCATGGCTGTTCTCTCCAAATTCATGTGCGCTAATTGGTGTAGACATCCTTAACTACTTGATGGAGACGAAAGGAGGATAATAGAACCGGAACTACAGTGTATCGATTTGATTAATTTCTACTTCATGCACATGATTCGAGGTTTTCTTTTGATAAAAATCACGTGCTTATCGATCAAATGAGTCCTTTTATGTTAATTGTTGTTCTTGACTATGAATGAAATTATGCAGGCAAAGCATTGGGAGAACACAGAGGTTCATGGAAGTCACAAAGTAGCAGTTTTTGAGAGGCCAAGATAAAGCACAAGATTTGAGAGCTGGAGGGAGCAAAGAGCAGCAAATTGCACGGTAAGTTGGAACATCACCGTAGTTCTCCGTTCTTCTAATCAAAATTTGAGGTGAGGAGATGTACTGATGCCCAGGATGATCACAGTGAGTGGATAAGCATAAAAAACTGTGGATAAAACAATGGCTGCACCTACAGCTCGCCTCCATGGCACGGGGTGCGGCACAAGGGCGTGCTGATGGGGAGGGTTTGCCCCCCTACCAACCCTGCAGGGTCTCCTTCAGGCAGGAGGCCGTCACCATCCTGCTTCAACTCTTTGTTCATGGAGGCAGCTGGTGCCTCCAGTCTTGTTCATGAGTGCCATGGATCACCTAAATGTCTCATGGTGATTAAATCTTTAGGCCCCAATGATTTCGATGAGGTAATTTGTTTTTCTTAAAATAAACTGCACTTGGATTTGATTGTTATTACCCTTTACTAATTTGCAGAAGAGGTATAATTTCCTATATCTGTTTATCATAATTTTTTTGGAAAACAAAATTAGTAGATGGTTTAGAGATTAGTATAATCTTACCGGTAGATTATACTAAGCAATCTAAGGTTTTGGATTGGAATGATGTTTGACTTGGTAGCTCAGATACAACTTTGATTGAATGAGGATCAAGTCAATATACAGTTACAGTTAAGTGAAGGTTAAATTTCTTGTGAAAAATGAATAGGTGTTGGTTCTCATCTCTCTACTACAACTTCCTATTAACTTTGTGTGGTGGAGTTCCACACGTGTACATCATCTTCCCTTAGATAAATAGGCATATAGAAAGAGAGAGGTGGATGCTGGCTGTGCCCACGTGCATGGGGGAGCAGGAAGCCCGCGTCCCTTTCTCTCTTTATAGAGAGAAGTATAAAAGAGAACCACCTGAGCAGTATCATCCGTGACCTAATAAGTCGGGTTTTGGTTCGAACCCGGACCGGACTGGGTCGGTTGTTCAGTCCTGCAATTTGGACGGTTGCTGATGCAACGGGGCCCAGGATGACGTGCACCATCTCGGAGATGATGGTGATGGAGACGGACGGGCTGACGGTTCACTGTCACAGGACAATTATTAGGTGGGTTGGTGGGTCCAGACCGGGCCCGGTCCAACCCGGCCGGGTCCCAAAGGAGGACAACAAGGACGGGCCCATGTACACCGTAGAGGAGTAGACCACGATCTGCTCGTGGGTCGTGCAGCCTCACATGATGTAGATAAGGCCATCTTCTACCCTGTAGGACAAACAAAGCCTCTGCTCCTTGGCAACGTACTCATGTCTACATAGTACTACTATATGCATAGTATTAAGCATGCTTTGCTTGAAATAACAAAATACAAGCTGGTGTCTAATTGTTCTCAAGTGTAAAAAGGAAAGCAATAGTATTAGGCATTGGATGAATATATAGCTGCGATGTTTGTGTGTGTGTATCTGAGAGAGAAAGGATTTCTAGAAAAGAGAGAGAAAATGGTTTTCTTATGCTGGAGCTGAAGACACCTCTGTAATATGAACTCTTTTTCTTGCCAAATTGAGTGCAGAGTTCCAAAACTTATTATATGCATTCTACAGGAACAAACTTTATCTTTATCATAGATCTACTTAGCCCAACCAATAATTTGAATTCCAAGTGACTCAGTTTATCCTGTTATTAGATTTAAGTAGGAAAATTCTTTTATAAGGATGTAGTCTTTTATAAACTTGTGTGGTGCATTGTCTTGAGTGGAGACACAAAGTATTTCTGTACATCTTTAATTCTGGTATATCATTCATTTTCTTGTACAAAAAGGATAGCTCCTGTGCACTAAATGTCTTTTTGTCGCACTGTAACTTTTTTTTTACCTGCTATAGTGCTTTGGCCCTCTGTTTCTATCACAGCCTTTATGTTTTGAGTTGTCAGTCCTTATCTTCTTTACTGCTTCATCTTGGTTGGTGTATTTTTTAGTGCTCTGTCCTTTTACAGGTCCCACCACTGTCCCCTGGCTTTATTGCTAAAGATGAAGATAAAAATGAGTAAAAGATTAGATTCTTTGTGAGAGAACCAACCAAATTGTCTTCTTTTGCATACTTGATGGAGTTGCTTCTAGATGGAATTATAACAATCAATAACTTCAAAACAAAATTAAAGTTAATGAATGGTTAATGCCCAAGTAATGCCTGGAACATTTTCAATTGCAACTGCAATTAATACCAAGGACTGCATTCTCCAAGTTTTTAACTAGCTCATTTAATGCTTCTAGGAAAACCAAGTCTGATATCCATAATTTATTGTTTTCTTTATGGAACACTAATTCTTTTTTTTTTTCTTTTCCTCTTTAGTTAGATGTTCCATGGACTGGTTAGATACATCATGGGTTCTTTGTTTTCCTGTCTCTCTTCTGACCCAGCCTTTCCAATGTGTGATTTTTCTTTCATCACAGCAAGGAGGATCACTTGTGAAGATGGTTAACATAAGACAACTCTAAGATCATGGAACCACCAAGTTTACAGCTGATTAACACTCTGTGTCACATTCATTAAACCTAATCTTTGTCTTATATTTTTTTTCTGCTTCTGATACCTAATGCCTGTCCTACTGAGAACTAAGAAGTCTGCTTGGTTCAACCTATTTTTCTCATTCCTTAATAAATACTGATAGCACCTCATAAGGGAGACCAGAATCACAATTTTGAAGAAACTTGAGAAATAAATTAAAATTTCTCATAGAAGAAGCTAAATGCTATCATATTTCTTTCCATATTTCATCATATATTTTTTTTTTCATTGAATAAACACATTTCTGATCTCCTTCTGAAAGTGACAGTCCAAGGCTCCAAAATCCAGCTCAGGCTTATCTGTGGAGTGGGACATAATAGAGCATGTCATGTGTGGTGCCAACCAAGAAGAAAGCTCACCCACATCTTCCATGCACATTCTCCACCACTTGACATTTAGAATCAATTCTTTATATCAACCAACCAACAAAGATGGCCAAGCAATTCTTCATGACCTTTACTTGCTACTTGATCAATGGAAGGTCTCTGTATGTATCAGAATGAACCAAGAAACAAATGTTAGAATCCCCTCCCATCTCTCTCCCTCTCTCTCTCTCTCTCTCTCTCCCCCCAACACACACACACACATTACTTTAGCCTATAAGCAAGTTGCTTGTAAATTGTCTAGTTTGCAAGTAAACCAAGTGTTTGACAAAATGCCCATCAATATGTACAACAAGTTTGTTTGGTATGTTTCCCGCTGTACTTGCAGGTAGATGTTGCATCAGCTGGAGCTTCATGTAATGTGGCACCAGATCATCAAACAAGTCTCCCTAAACTATCAGATGTACTGGTCAAGATGGGTCAATCCTACATCAAATCATATACCAAACACAAACAGGGACTTATGAAGCTGCATCTCAATTCAAATTATGAAGTCAAGACAACTTCTATTGTATATGAGGAGTGTAAACTCTTATCAATAAAAGGAAGCATTCGCTTTCATCATGAACCTCCCTATCAATTTGGGCTGTTTTGCAGCGGAAGATGGCTTTAAGAGTTGATAGAATGTAACTGCAAGCAAAGAGATTCTCCAATTTGGGGAACAACAGTATTTTCCTCTCGGCAGCAGCCAATCCCCACTATGAAATCGGTGGATTCCTCAACGGGTTTTCAAGGGGTGCAAGAGAGATCGATAGGTGATCATCCAGCACAAATTGGGAGATGCATTGTCCATATTGATGGAGGTGACAATGTCTCAGGATGCGCATTTCATCAAACACCTTCGTTGTGGGCCACTGGATCACGTTGTTGTTTTCTGGGAATAAGCCCGGCCCATTTAAAGCTGTTAACGACCTCAGCCGCGACGAGCAGCGGGGTGGTTCGGCTCGGCCGTGTCGAGAAACATATAAATCTCTACCGTGGTGAAATTTCTCGGTCGAAATGCATCCGCTCGCCGTCCACGAGACATGGGCTTGCTGCCACGCCTCCGCTCCTCCCCTTGAAGATGATGATGGTGTTCTGGAAGAGTGGCCACGTAGGGAAGGCCCAAAGAATCCAGGTCTCCGGCAACGCAGTGCTGTCCGTCCTCCTCGACTCGGGCCGCTTGGATTCTGCCTCGACGTTGTTCGCCGAAATGCCTCCGACGAGTGCGAGGTCCTACACGGCGATGATCGATCGATTCTCGAGGTCGATTCGCGTTACGGAAGCGCGGTGTCTGTTTGATTCCAGTCCTTCGGGCGACCGGAACGTGTTCTCGTGGGCAGCCATGATGTCTTGCTCTGCGTAGAACGATGAGCCCCTCCGCGTTGTGAGGCTCTTCGAGAATCCCTACGGGATCTCTTTGAGTAGTACTGTGCTAAAATCTTGTGGTTGCTTACGATCTCTAGTGGCCACAAAGCGGATCCATTCTTTGACAATGTAGCTATTGGGTGGGGAAGGAAAAGGATCGATCTTTGTTTCAGAATGCTCGTACCTCAAATTGGACTTGCTTTGACTTGAAGGATTCAGAAGAAATAGAACTACTCTATCAGATCGAAGGATGTTGGCAGTGATTGGTCCATTATATTCACATTGGAGATACAGACAGTAGAGTGATATGGATTACTTCTCTCGAGGCTAAAGATGTTGAAGGGCAACTCTGGGAGATGAGAATGAAGAACAGAAGTTGAAATGGTGTGATTCAATTATCAATGCTGAAAAGTATTTCTGCTCACTTCACCAGTTCTATTACAAGGATGCCGTAAATGACATCAAATCTAAGGAGATTGAGTCTTCAAAATGGACTCAGTTGAGCAAGCCTGAAGGAGAGGTAGGTGCACAAACCTTGTACTTATGTCACTGGAGAATTATTATGCTGGTATTCCATGGAACAATCTTTTGGGTTATCCTACATCTTCATATATGGCCATTTACACTCACTTTGATCACATAGGTGTCATAAAATATGTTAACAAAATACAAGTCATTGCTGAATAAATCAGTTTTTATTTGTCCAAGCATGATACAATCTAGTTTGATAAACCGAGGATCTCATAGTTGCTAGCTAATATGAGCAAGCGATACAACAACAAAGATGCATGAATACAAGTACTGACACTCCTGATTGCTTGTTCAGGGTCTCACGAGGATGCAATCAACTCCTTGGATAAGAGAGCCTCCATCCTCATCGTCAACAAATCAAAGTCATCTTCTGTCTTAACAAGGCTTAGGCGTGTGTAATGGCTGTTGGCTTCAAAGAGTGTACCAGAGCGCGAGGTGATGCCCGATGTCTTAAGCACAGAATAGCAGTCCTTGTCTTCCTCCGTCTCGCACTTTAGCCAAGCATAAGCTGCATGATTGAGTGTTAGTAATATCTAAAAACTGCTTCAGTAATCCTTCTTAAGGGAAGATGGTAGCTTTTTTTTCCTCATTATTACCTGGAGATGGGTCTCGGATCCTTTTGAAGTAGTTGCAATAACGAGGAAGGAGTGGTTGGATAGAGAAACGATTAGAAGAGGAGACGAGCTTATGCAATTTGCTCCACCTCGTCTTCAGTGTCTTGTAACCAAATTCGAAAATGCCTCCTCCTTTTCCCATCTCTGCTATCACCACTCTGATGAGCTTCAGAACTCTTAGTTGGACATCACAAGAAACAACCATGGTGTTCAAAGACATGTATTCTGCAGCTTTCTGGTATGTTTTCTGATCCTTTATTACTGCCCACCTACATCAGAGTGAAAATACAGCAAAGAACTATATTATCATTTTTGCCTAATTAAAGAGATTGTTGCGTAATGATGCTATTTATTTAACCCTGATTAGCTTTGGGCTTTAGGACATTGTCAACTTGTCTACAAGATCACTGGCGATTAATTTATTATCTTTGAAGGAAAAGAGAAAAAAAATTGTTGTTACAAGAAGTTTTTGCTCTGTTTCTTTCTAATGTTGATGTTTGTAGGCTATGGAGCAACAATTTATCAGAACTCAGTCACAGCTAGGATTTCCATCACTGCTTGTCCTCCAAGTCTTACTCAAGCCCAATAGGTGAAGCTGCAAGTATGTTACTGTTGCTTTAAACTAGGAGGTTTCATGACACAAAATGCATTGAAGTGTATAAGAAGGAACATACCAAAGCCTGATACCAGCATGGCCTGAGATCTTGGAAATGGTAAACAGCATAATATCTTCATCTGCTGGAGCTGGAATTGATGAATAGTGGGGCCAAAAGTAGGCATGATCATGGATCACTGCCGATGCACCGAGAACAGATTGCTGCAAGAGCCCATCTGGATCGTTCGGCGAAGTGACATACTCGATGATCTTTGTTGCAGGTGAGACTGATCCTTTCACATAATTAGATCTAATTCCTATACATTCATGTTGTCTTCTTCCAAACTGCAAATGAATACCAGAAGAAAGTATAACTTCATACTAACTTTATGGTCTCTGCATAAGCAATTGAAAGGTTGATCACTACACCAATCTTAGAATTGTGTTGTTACAGTGTTGTTCATGCTCAGCAAATTACATTTTCTGATAGGTTTGACTGATGTGTGTGGTGATGAATGTGTTTGAAGCTAAATAAGCTGTTGAGAATTGCAGGATACTTACTGGGTTGTGGGGAGCCGATGCAACGAGACATGCAGGGGATGAGGAGGCATTGTCGGCAGAGAGGGCGTGAACCAGAGCATGGAGGAGCTCGGCCACCTCTGATCCAAAGAGGATGAACTTTCCATCCGTGATTGCGTTCTCCGCAGCTTTGTGAAGGAGACGAACATGCCTGTCGAGCTCGGCGGAATTGAAGTCACCGCCAATGGTCTGAGAACTCATGCACTGCCATCCCGGCGATACGATCGAGCTGGTTGATGCATGCTGCTGCCAGTATGGCTCCAAAAACAATGGATCCTCACTGCGAAGGCAAGCAAGAATCACTCGCTTGTTTCATGAGCTGATCAAACACCATTGAGCCAAACAAGAACTCCTTCCTGTTCTTCTCTTAACGAGATTTGAATTATCGCGTCGGCGACGTTGATACCATGCAGAATTGGGAACGGGCGTCTCACCTGTCGGCGTCGGCGGGGCAGTCGAGCAGCAGCCGGGAGCAGTCGTCGCCGGAGTAGCACGCGTTGCACTCGCACGCGGGGAGACCTCCGCCGGCCAGAAAGGCGCGGCCGTGGCCCGAGCAGTCGATCGCGGCGACGGCCTCGGCGTCCCTGGCGGCGGAGCGAGCCCACCCGGGCGGCGGCTGGTGGCGGGACAGGACGAGGTAGCAGAAGAAGAAGACGTTGAGGAAGAGGGAAGCGTGGAGGAAGAGAAGGAGCTTCAGCCCCGGGCGCCGCCGCCCTCCACGTCTTGCCTCGTCCATTCACACCGCACACGCAGGAAGCCGCCGCCACCTTCGGCATCGATGGTATGGATTCTGCGACTCGTTTATTCCGAGAGAGAGAGAATCTCGAAAGAATATTACGCTAAGGAATATACCAGGTAATAATTGGCATGGTTAAAACGGGTCGGATTCTATAAAAGAAGTCCGAATCCGTTTCCTCGTTTGATCGGGTTATGAAATGTGATTGCAGTGAAGCGGGTGAGTTCCTATAACTTTATTCGAAAAGTAAATTATTCGCCTATAAATAAATCATAATTAGAACAGTCAACGTTTTCGTTTATTTGGGTGAATTAAGGCCGATTAATTAATTTAAACGAACTCGGACAGACGCCGCCAAAAAAAATCTGCATCCGAAGCAATCCGTCGGTCCATCGAATCCAGACAAAGTGAATTGGATCACATGTTGCGGGCGGCTATCGGGTCTGGTTCTTCTCGGGAAGCTAAAAAGGGGTCGCTCCGGAAGAGCATATCTCTGCACCGGAATTTAACACACGACATGACATGTCCTTCACGCAATTCAACATAATGATTGCAGCAGTCACTGTTGCTTCTCATATGCTGCCACTCTTCCACGGCATACGAAGTCACAGCGGGCGGTCCAGTGAACCGGACGAGGCCGTCGACCGCCGATTGCCCTCTCGTGAACCGGGTTCGGTTCGAACTCCGCGATTCACGGCCGCCAAGCTTGCCTGTCGAAAGTAGCGAATCGACGCGAGTGACGTGTGGGATCCACCGATGGGGCCCTTGACCGCACCAATCGGGCGAGGGGTGGGCGGGGAGCGGTCAGGTTACAGACATGTGACTTCTTTCTCCGGTGGGTTTACGTAGCATTGAGACGTGAACAGTCGATTGTATATGACAAATCTGGAATTCATACCAAATACGTAGCCCTCTCATTTGTAGCAGCCCACAAAATACGCGGTGTTCTACTAGCGGACACCAGCCACTCTCCACTATCGTCAACAAAACGCACGTGATCCGCCGTCGAATCCACCATTATTTTCCTTCCTAGCTTTATCACCTCCCCCCTCCCCCTCTCCCTCTTCTATATAAAGAACGATGGTCTCGCTTTGAGACTCCCCACGATAGAGAGAGAGAGCTGAGAGGAGAACGGGAATGGAAGGGGAGAAAGGGAAGAAGGTTGAGGTGGCGGAGGTGGTGGAAGAGAAGAGATCGAGGTTTAGAAAGATCTGCGTCTTCTGCGGGAACCAACCAGGGCGGAAGGCCATTTACCAGGAGGCCGCCATCGAGCTCGGAAGGCAGCTGGTAACGCAATCCATCCTTTTTCCGTTTCCAAAGACCACACCCAACACCCTAAGCAAACCCAAGTTGTGACTCTCCCTCTCTCTCCCTCTCTTTCTTTCCAATCCCTCGTTTTATGATGGGTTTATGAGGATTCAGATGTCTATGTTCTTCCAAGAACTATGACTTTGGATTCTTGTTACCTTCTCGAGCTTTTCATCCTCTGTAGCGGTGGCCGTTCTTTCTTTGCTTAGAACTCAGCTAAGGTCTTGCATGTAGTGGTCATCTCCTTTCTTTTGCTCTCGGAGATAGTCTTGGTTCCATGTACTTGCTTAGAACTCAGATGCCTCCTTTTCCTCTATCATAATACATATACAACAACACGTTAATTTGGTGTTGCATAGGTGGAGAGTGGCATTGATTTGGTGTATGGGGGAGGCAACATAGGATTAATGGGCATCGTTTGCCAAGCAGTGCATGAAGGAGGCCGCCATGTCTTGGGGTATAAAAAATTCCCTCACGCCCACTCATCCTCTTTCCTCGAAGCTCGCTCTCCTCCTTTTTTTTTTTCCCCATGGTTTGGTCCATGACATGTGGATCGTTGGATGGATCTTTCTTATTCTCAAGCTGCTGCTTTGTTCATGTCTGTTTCCACTTGTGATTTGACAGGGTCATTAGCAAGTCCTCCATGGCAGGAGAGGTGAGTTCCTTGACCTTGTCTGCACCACTGAATTAATTATATATGATATATCTTAATTATGTATACCTTCTGCATCATGACAAGGTTTGATGTTCTTTGCAGTAGTAGTATGTAGATTTCGCAAGCTTTTGAAAGTACATGACTGTAGCTTTGTTCCTGGAAACTGCATGTAGAATTGTTTGCATTCTGGACTCTCCTTCCTTTTGTCTTTCTCAAACCATATGCTCATCTATGTCGTGCTCTCATGTATTCTTATAACTTGATTACTACCTACCTTTTTGATAGATATCCAAAGATCCTTTTCAGAAGAAAAGAAATGAAGATGAAAACCACATCAGTGTTGTGTGTTGTGATATTTTGTTGTGTTAGACTTGGTGAGCATTTTAGGGCACTTATTTGATTCAAAATTACTTACGGACTAGGATGATGATTAGAAATTTAAGTAAACAAATAATCCTTAATTAATTATGATTTGGAGAGACACAAAAGAAAACACTTTGGGTGCTCATACAAATTTCTCTAGCAGATCAGAGGGTTGGGAGGTGAATTATGTAAGAGAAGTACGAGAGTTTTGGATTTGGGTTAAGTACTCAAGAGAAGAAAGATAGATATTCTCTTCAATTTTTTTCTCATGTAGTAAAAATATTATGGCTAAGGGTTGTCGAACCACATAAATTTTATATTGACCTTTTAATGTATTCCTTGATTAATGATCTCCGAGATTTTTCTCTTGGTTTGAAAGCCTTCTCACCCCTACCAAATTGGAACCGATCACTATTACCTGAGGTGTGGGTGGGTGATATTTCACTTTCCCTTCCTACTCCGCTAATTACATGTAGTGTTAACATTAGCTGCTTGATCTGATTGCAGTACATAACCAGTCAAACTGTCGGAGAAGTTCAAATTGTTTCCGACATGCATGAAAGGAAAGCTGAGACAGTTCGCCGAGCTGATGCCTTCATTGCATTGCCTGGTATCTATCATCTCTTCGTCTTTAGCTCCGAGTAGGTGAGCTCATGCCAATTTGATGTGCCATTTTAGCCGTATCACCATCTCAATTTCAAGCATTTATAATTCGTAGGTGGGTATGGAACGCTTGAAGAACTTCTTGAGGTCGTTACATGGGCTCAGCTGGGAATCCACAAGAAACCGGTAAAGCAAAGTTTTAGTCGATAGCAATTAGTATTTTTGTTCCAAATCAAAGACTTCATTTATATTATGATTAGAATGATCCAAAAAGATACTAAAGCTTTCACATGATTTTATCGGAAAATGAGGAAAAGTTCGACCAAATTCGTGTTATGAGAATTGTTCTTCTTCCTTTTGCGAATAACAAAATCTGTGATCGAAGGCTTTTTTACATGGCGATGTGACTCGAATAATAATTTACTTGTGCACCCTAAATGGATCATATTCAGTGTAATCGATTATGACTTCAACAACATTAGTAGTCGTTGTCAACGCTATCGGCTTTATTAGGTGAGACGAGTTTCTTACTCTTCTTTTTTTTGTTTTTTTTTCGTGACAGACGGTGTACAAGCAACTCCCAAAATAAATGATTTGTCCCGATTGTATGATTACATATTAACTTTGTTTTTTTGTTTTTGTAATATGTGAAGGTTGATTTTTTCTAGAGTAGGTAGTTATATTTGTATGATTGGACATGATGGAATAAGTAGCTCATTAATTTTGTTAAATCCAAAAATACTAAATCTCAAGTTCTCTATAATCAATGCTCATTTCTTACTTGTTGTCTATCTATGGTTAACAGGTTGGGCTCTTAAACATCGATGGTTTTTACGATTCACTCTTGTTCTTCGTCGATATGGCTGTCGACGAAGGGTTCATCACTCGAGCTGCTCGCAACATCATCATATCTGCACCATCAGCCAAGGAACTCATCAGAAAGTTTGAGGTGACTTTATCATCATCCTTCTTCTTGAACTTTTTTTGGGTGAAACATTTGGCTGATGAGGTGCAATGATTTAATAACATTCATGTATCATCCTTCAATTGATTAAAACAATAATCTTCGTGGGACTCGATGGAAAAGGTACAGTTTCATTTTGACATGGAGAACCTGAGAATTCGATCTTCCAAGAGATGGATGCTTTTCAGGATGATTTCTTTACGACGAATCCAGCGTAGTTAGGGCAATATTCCTAAAATAAAAATATTTCGATGAATATTCTTACCTCGAGCGCATGGTGATTGATTCTTATTAACCGGGCTTTATGTGTCGAGTCTCGATTGATTTTGAATATCGATCATATCGTATCATATCAACTCATATATTTTTGTTTTATGGAGACTTCTCTTTTTAAAATCCTTCACATTCAAATATGTTTTACAGGAATATGTTTCAGAGTATGAAACAAATTTGGTGTGGGATACCGAGAAGGAGCTTCTTGAAGTCAGTCATCTCTGAACCAGAAACAGACATGGCTTGATGACATCTCAGATTATTTTTGACCTCATCCTGCTTTTGAAACTAACAATGCACACTATCTTTTCTGTAAACATGAAAAGAAAATATGATTGTTGGTTGGAGAGCAAATGATCCATTACGTTCTGCATCTACTTGTACATTTGTTTTGGATAAACTATATATATATATATATATATATATATATATATATATATATATATATATATATATATATATATATACACATATATATAGATAGATAGATAGATAGATAGATATAGAGAGAGAGAGAGAGATGCATTAGATCCGATGAAGTATCGTACTCATAAATCTAAGATAAACTAAGATAAACTTAAATGGAAAATGTGAAGTTATTTACTGTCGTGGAGTGTTGGGATTTGTTCTTTGTAACAGTCGATAGTTATTTGGGGAAATCGTGACAGAAATTTACACGTGGAAAACCTCGAGTCGCTTTTCTTTCCTTTACGTAAAACACCCCCACATTGTAGACGTGGCGCTTCGCAGGAAGCTTGGCACCCGCCGCCCGTGTCGCGTGATTCAAGCACAGCGTCATTGCTCGGAAGGCATCAAGAAATGGGCTCGAAACGAAACGGAAAGCCACCACCGCGCCGGTCGCCCTCTCCACCACTTTACCAAAGCGACAATTCCCTTTTCTCTCTTTATAATAACCCTAATCGCCTCCTCCTCCTCTTCCATCTCTGATTCGCCCTTCACCACTCGATCAGGTGAGGAGACAGCTTCCTGCTCCTCCTTCATTCTCTACTTTAATTTGTTGGTGGTTCTCTCGTTCCTTTGCTCTAAGATGTTCGTTACATTATCATGTGGCATCTCCATGAATAAAAAAAGTCGCGATTTTTATTATTCCCCCTGCCTCTCGTACTTGGCTGGCTTTGTATCCTTCATGAATTGAATAAACGAAGACCGGAAAAGAGAGTTCTCTTTTTGGCGTTCCAGCTAGGATGGTCTTGACGTGCTGCAACCTGAACTGGTAGCACTTGTCTCTCGTCATCTTGACCTGGTTACTCTTAAGATGATATCTTTTGCTTCTGGTAGACTCCGCGAGCTGATCAATTGGGTCATGGTGAACAATAATTTGGCAGTTATGTTTATTTACTTTTCTAGGTTTGGTTATTTTGTTGTTAAATTTCTGCTTCGAACTTTTAGTTACCATAAAAGGAGACTTCCTGGTTATTGAATGAAGTAATTTACGCAGGGTTTTGGGGAAGATGTGGCTTCAGATTTGTCCCTCCCCTCCCCCTTTATTTATTTATTTTTTTGACTTGGAATATCAAGTATCATTGATGGATTTACTTTGGAAGAATGTGATCCTGCTAAAGTTGAGTGCATCTTTTCTTTGGGAACATTTCAATTTTCTGATACAGTGTAATTTAAAATAATAGTTTATGATAAGAATTTGACTTACTTGGTGTGTTCTTTATTCAACTTTTTTGGAGCATATGGTTTGCACATGTCATTGGGTTTGGTGGCTTCCTACTATCATTAAGTTGATCTAGCAAACTGTGGCAGTTTGTAACTTGGATTTTCTTTGAATGTAGAAGACACTTTTGGTAATCACCAGTCTTAGTCTGGGATGTTGGTTTTTTTAGATCCATCTGGTATATGAGTCTCATTTGTCTTGGTTAAGTTTAATTAATTCTACATGCTACTTTTTATGTCATCTAGACAGCAATGGGCCAGGCATTTTGTTGCATTCAAGTGGACCAGTCAACTGTGGCCATGAGAGAAACTTTTGGGAAGTTTGATCATGTGCTTGAGCCCGGATGCCACTTCCTGCCATGGTGTTTGGGGAAACAGATTGCTGGTTATCTTTCACTCCGTGTGCAACAACTTGATGTTCGTTGCGAAACAAAGACAAAGGTTTGTAGCCTTTTTCATCTTCATCACATCTTTGCACACTTTTCCGAATGTTGTCATCGAATCCTCTGTGCATGTACAAACAGTATAAGCCAGAAAATTGGAACTGCTTAAAGTTAAATGTTCAAAGAAAAGTCAACAAATAGCAAGCAGAGAGCATCTTTAATCAGTTAAGTTCCTGTGTGAACTCTGATGTACTCAAGTAACCATTTTCAGAGACAAAAATGTGAAATCAGTTGAGTTACTGTCTGAATTTTCATACACCCAAACAATTAAATTCTATAGAGACAAAATGTACGTTTAAGCTTTTACCGTTCTTGGGTCATGCAAGTTCTATATTTTTATTATTCTTTAATTTACAAATGCTAGTCATGAAGTATACATACCACACCACTTAATGTGGTTTTCCTTCTTGTTTCAGGATAATGTATTTGTTACGGTTGTTGCTTCTATCCAATACAATGCTATTGCTGACCAGGCATCTGATGCATTCTACAGGCTCAGCAACACAAAGGAGCAAATCCAATCCTATGTTTTTGATGGTGATGTTATTCGGTTTCACAATTTCGCATCAAATCCTTTATTCTCACTTAGATTCTGATACATTCAGTCTTGTTTATTTCGTTGTGGTAGCCTAGAGTGGACTTTTCTAGTGTCTTCTGCAAAATGACTTAAAACGTGCTTGAATTCTTTAATTTCTTTACTTTTTTATTGAGATTATATTCTTAATTTTCATCTCACAGAAGCTCTGATGCACAATTCTTATATTGCTAGTGATGTGCATGTAAGAGTCTAAAGCATCACTTATCATATAACAAGGTGGTTTAAAGCACAAAGTCTCTGCCGTTGTGGTGTCTAGGGAAGATCCACGTTCAGATAGGGAGGCTGTTTCCATAATATTTAGCATTGTTGCTGTTGCTAAATATGTTGCATCCATATTTATATATTAATATTGGACAAAAGCTTTTGCGATTTTCAAAACTCCGTATAAGATTGAGATAGCCGGTGGACCACAACTTGAGTTACTTGATGCTAGGCCCTTCAAAAAATATTCTCCATCTATATTAGTACTATACATTATGCATGCCACTCTTTTCCATGCATATCATATCTATGCTCGAGCAGACTATTGATATGATGGGGTATGAGGCAAGGAAATAATCGATTGCTTCTGTCAATGCAGAGCTTCTGTCGCTTCTGCATTGATATTCTGATCAGTAGGCCACCACTGAAAAGGGTAAATTTCTATTAGGATGTTATTGAACAAAAAATTTAAATTTTAAAATGGTCATGTTCCTTACAAGATGAAGCTTTCAAAGCTCTTTTTTACTTAGGATTACACCTGATTGGTTCTTGCTTTTCCAATGTCCAATACTTGTTTTCTTAGATCGAGACATTCATGTCTGCAATCCTCTGTTAGAAAACAGAAACATTTACCTGGAATTATTTTTTATTTTCTTGCTACGACATTCAGATGGACTTTATTCTTTGCTTTTACCTGCTACTCTTGGATCCACTAAAATGTGAATCTTGTAATATTACTGGACTTGGGACCATCCATAGAACTGGTTTTACTGGAGATACATGGACCCTGCTTCTCATGTGCATAGTGAAACACAGGACCGTACATACCAGGTGCCTAACAGACATTTTGTACCACTTCTTCAGTCATCAGGGCTAGTGTTCCAAAGCTGAATTTGGATGATGTGTTTGAGCAGAAGAATGATATCGCTAGAGCTGTTGAAGATGAGCTTGGAAAGGTAATTTGTTTGTCTACTGCTGTCTTCTATGTTTTTACCATTTCTTCAGCATTCTGTCTCTGTGACCAGGCAATGTCATCATATGGTTACAAAATTGTTCAAACACTAATCGTGGATATCGAGCCTGATAATCACGTGAAGAAAGCAATGAATGAGATCAACGCAGGCAAGTATAGGTTGTTATCATAGTCAAAATAGATGCTTTGAACCTATTGTAATACGTTCTTTCGTAGTTTTCCAAAGTAAGTGTTGTTGGTTTACATGTATGTTTTAACCCTTTGTAACAGCTTCTAGAATGAGAGTTGCAGCAAATGAAAAAGCTGAAGCGGAGAAGATACTGCAGATTAAGCGGGCTGAAGGAGAAGCAGAATCTAAGTACTTGTCTGGCTTGGGTATAGCACGGCAACGCCAGGCCATTGTGGATGGCCTGAGGGACAGCGTGCTTGCCTTCTCTGTCAACGTGCCAGGAACCACAGCTAAGGATGTCATGGACATGGTTCTGGTGACACAGTATTTCGACACAATGAAGGAGATCGGGGCCTCCTCGAAATCCTCTTCTGTGTTCATTCCCCATGGCCCTGGGGCTGTGAGGGACATTGCTTCCCAAGTTAGAGATGGCCTTCTCCAAGGTAGCGCCATCCATTGAACAGAAGAAATAAGGGATGGCATTGGAGTCAGCAGTTTAGATTGGTATTGTTTGTATTATCAGTTGTCTTCTAAAGTAGCATCTTATTCGGTATAGATGGAGTCGAAGGTATAATACGCAGGTATTAGTAATCAGATATGGTGTCAGAAAAGATGAATTGCTGGAAAGAACAATATTTGGTTGTGTAGGTGCTCTTAGTGTATATGGCTAAGTAGTGTTTTGTGAACCTATGCTACCAAGAAATTTGCAGCTATGGCTACTGAATATAAATGCTCTACTTGTAGGGATTTTGTTTCTCTAAGATTTTGTTTGAATTACAATTACTTATGAAGCCATGTGTACTGTTTAAAATGACCACCTTAATGGTGATTATGTTCAACAATTCTGTGGAGAGGTGATCTTGTTTTGTTAATGATATTACCCTGGGGCTGTTGCACTGGCAGGTTTGCTTCCTGTTCCCAAAAATTGCCTATTCCATTTGTGGAAGGCTTTTTACACTTGAAAGAAGTTTCAACACAAGCAAAGAACAAAAGAAATGCAACACAAACAATTAGATAGAAAGTTGACATTGCACATCCGTCCACCATCCTCAACATGGTGGGACATGCCCTGTTCTTGCATGCTAGTTATTGGCAGCTCCCTCAAGCTCAAACAGCTGCTTTATGATCTCTTCCTTCTTGGCTTTCAAGTCATCAATCTTGGCATCTAGCTTCTCTAGCTTCATCCTCAGCTTGGCTGGATCTTGTGTCTTTTCCTTGGAATCAGCACTCTTTTCTTTATCCTTCTTCTTCTTGTCCTTCTCTTTCTTTTCTGGCTCCTCAACACGTCCATTCACGTCCGCTTGATCTGCCATCTGCAACAAAATGGGGAAGATTCCCGAGTCTCAAGCAAAATCCAGGAGTAGCTCAAGCAATGTCAGCGAAGTGGTGACTGACCTTTTTATCTCAAGGAGATGAACTGCAGCTCTGCGATGGTGCCAAACCCCAAGATTAGCAAAATTTATAGGCACAGAGAAGACCTTTATCTCTTCCTGCTTGGCTGAAGGAATGAAGCCTTCGCTGCGCAAAACAAGCTTGTCCAAGAGAGATGCAAGAATGACTAGGCTTTAGACCCGGAGATAGCAATTTGCTGTCCACAAACTTGAGCTTGTTTTGCTCTGTGTTGCATGTTTTTTTTTTTTTAACGCCTAGGGAGATAACTAACGCTCACATTATTATTATTATTACTATTATTAAAGATATGTTTTAATCAAGTAGATTCTGTGTTTTTGTTGAAGTATAGTCTTTCACCCACTCATCGGCCCTCGTTGTGGTTAGTTGATTCTCGCATAGGTGAATTTGAAAAGATGTGGCCAACAATGCTAGCTTATGAGCTAAGGTACAAGTAGCCAAGAAAGAGAGCAATTAACGTTGCTAACCCATGCCTATAGATATAGGCCGTCAAAGAAGAGGATAATTGACGGAGCTAGCCCATGTGCGGAGGCATAGATGACAAGGGAGGGGGTGTTAGCGTTGCCTACCAGCCTATGCACGAATGCACAAATGACTAGAGGAGAGGAGGAGAGCAATAGGCGAGAGTTACGATCAATCACGACGGACAAGATTATCAGGTTCAAGGTGACTATGCATGAGATGAAGAGGAACGATCGATGAGGCAAAGGCGGGACCTGGTGCGACGAAGGGCAATGATTGACGGTGGCAAAATGATATTAAAACTTAGGATGGAAAAATCTAAAGTTAAATTTTTTTTTGAAAAGTTACCCTTGTTAATTATAGTGTATGTAGGCATAATTTATTTTGATAAGACATATTTATCACGACATTTATGCCATCAATTTCTAATACATCGCTTGTTCTGAAATTATTTCCAAATTATTTGAGTTCATCGCTCGTTCTGAAAGAACAACGCACACACACAGCACGGCGATAAAAGACGAGCTGAACACTATTCCTCCATCTCTCACGTACTTATCGACACATCACAAAGGATCAAGCAGGCAGCGGTAGCTCACTGGAGAGGAGCTGCTTGCAGCAGCCCATCTCGGACCTGCGCGGCGATGTCACGCACAGCACCCGGCCCGTGGGGGATGAACACAGACGAAGACTTGGAGCTGGCGCCGATCTCCTTCATGGTGTCGAAGTACTGCGTGATGAGCACCATGTCCAACACATCCTTCGGAGTCGTCCCCGGCACGTTCACCGAGAAGCCCAGCACGCTGTCTCTCAGCCCGTCCACGATCGCCTGGCGCTGCCGGGCGATACCTACCCCCGACAAGTACTTGGCTTCCGCCTCCCCTTCCGCCCTCTTGATCTGCACGATCTTCTCGGCTTCGGCCTTCTCGTTCGCCGCCACCCTCAACCTCGCAGCTGCGGTTACGTTTCAGTGGTGCATTTCATCGAACAGGTAAAGCAGAACCGAACGACGAGCTTACCTGCGTTGATCTCGTTCATGGCTCGTTTCACATGTTCGTCTGGCTCCATGTCGACGATGAGAGTCTGAACGATTTCGAAACCGTAGGCAGACATGGCCTTCTCGAGCTCCTCTTCCACGGCTCGGGCTATCTCGTTCTTCTGCTCGAAAGCGTCGTCCAGGTTGAGCTTCGGCACGCTGGCTCTGATCACTGGCGACATGACAAGAAGAAGGCTGTGAAGTGTAGCTCTTAGCTTAAGAAAGGGAAGCTGATGCCGAGGTCATACCATCGAACACATAAGCTTGGATCTGAGACTGGGTGTTGCTAAGCTTGTAAAAGGCATCATTTGCTTTGTCAGGCAGAGCACGGTATTGGATGGAAGCAACCACATTGACGAACACATTGTCCTGCAAAGGAAAAATGATCATAGAAACCAACAAGCCAACAGAGAGGAAGAGGCCGTAATCACATGAACATGTTAAATTCCACATCTCTATGGCACTTCAGAAGGTTTTTGCCACCTCCAACCTCCGAGTTACCTACGATCTCTATCTCCATCATCAAAAACCGTTGCGGAATTTCTTCAAACAACATGCCTGCAGGTTGGACTTATAGCAGTAGCAGATAGAGAACGAACCTTTGTCTTCGTCTCACACTTCACATCCAGCTGTTTCATCCGGAGTGACAGCCGGCCGGCAATTCTCTTTCCGAAAACCCATGGCAAGCAGTGGCATCCTGGTTGAAGCACATCGTCATACTTCCCAAATGATTCCTTGATTGCAACGGTAGATTGCTCTACTTGAACGCAGCAAAGCATTTGACCCATGGCTTATCCCCCCTGCCGTCACACGGTGATCTGTTACAGGCCGAGCTCCAGTAGACTCCAATATATGGTTTAATACATATATATACATATACATACATATATATACATATATATACATATATATATGTATATATATATAATTTCTGAAAACACTCTTTTCTTTTTACTTTTCGAGTAAAGTAAAGAAACCTATTTTCGCATTAATCAGTCATTAGGGTAAATCGAGTCGGTTATAATATTTTTACATTATATTATAGTATTTTTTATATTTTTAACATATCAAAAACACCATAATATAGTACAAAAACACTATGTTACATTTTTTTAGTATTGCTAAAAATATTATAACAGTATAACACACAGTCGATCCTATCGATCGATTCATAGAAAAAGAAAAAAAAAAGGTATTCCAAGTATTAGGAAAAAAAATATTGCTATAAAATTTTGAAAATAGACACTTCCCTAGAAAAAAAAGGTACTTTTTTTTCAAAAATTCATATTTATATGCTTTAATATGATTCAACTCTTATACAGAAAAAAAAAATGATATACTCATCTTCATGGTAACTTAAAAATCTCAAATGAGTAGAAACATCTTCCATACTCTCATAAAATGTTAGAATACCTCGAATAAAAGAGTTCAAAAGAATTAGCAGATAAACATTATATTTTACTATTATATATGATTCCCAATCAAATTATAGATCCACAAACATAGGAAAATAAGTAAGTCCATATACATCTTAGCACTTTATATAACAAAATCATGCTTTTCTCTAATTTAATGGAATCAAATTTGGAACTCATCATCATCAGAAATTGAAGAAACACAACTTACAGCAGCTTCGATCGACAAGGAGATGACAACCGAACAAAGAGAACGCCAGTTGACAAGGGAGACGTACAAACACAGAGAGATATATAGATGAGAGGATTGCAAGAGCGGATGCAAGTAGCAATTTTGAATCAATTGTTAGAGCACTAAAGTCAAGTCAACCTGGATGTGATATTGGATAGAGGATGATGAGCTGTATGCAAGTTCTTCAAAGAAAACTATCATGGAATTATCGAGTTTGACGCTGGAAAATGCGCAGAAACTGCACCAGAGAGATGGACGTTTTGGCTGTTCCATCCAATCGAATCCTTCTGACTGAGTTCTTCTATTAAAAGAATCAACAGATCAGATAATTACGTTATATATATATGTATATATATAATTGCCACTAAGGTAGGGCGTGACTTGAGAAGAAGGTCATGTAATGGATAAGCATGAGAGGTTGCTCTAGTGAACGCAGAACTTTCTATTGAGAATGACAACCGAGACGGTTGACACTTGCAACGCAAGCAAGCATGCATCATATGAAATGTCCATACAATTCCGCTGCAACTTCTTTATGTCTACATTGATTTTTTTTCCCCCACTTTCTGTTCATATTGTTCATAACAGTTTATGTCAGCCATTCATTTGATATTTAAGTTAAATATAGTAACGAGGATTAGGAGAGAATAAGAGAGATTGGTCTTCGTCCAGAGTTATTTTGTAAGATGATTTCATGGAATTATGAGATATTATCCAAATACGAGAGTCATCAGAAAGTCATTCAAAATAGTAGTCATTGTGGTTAGCATCATCGTGTCGATCACGTTGTACACTCGGTTGACAATCATGCTCGTAGAGCGATTGATAATGATATGACAATTCCATTATTCATGTATCAAATTATATATAACATTAGATATAAGATAGATGGAGATAACTGTAGAACAGGGGCTCATCTGATTGACCTTTTACTATAATCTTTCTATTTCTTTTTTACCCGTTGTCGTGCCGAGCACTGCAATATCAATGACGAGCTCAAAGAGCAGCGGTGACGTAACGTTGGGGGAGGGGACGACTGCAGCTGAGCTGTTCCGCTCGAGATCGGGAACAGGGAAACCCTCCATCCACCTGTAGCGGAAGCGGCAAAAGGCGGTTTCTATTGGCCCGGGCAGTTGCTTTTCCTGTTCCATGTTCTTCATCGTGCAGCAAAGAGAGTAGCACACATAAATTCATCCTATATATATATATATATATATATATATATATATATATATT